TTTGTCCTCATTGTAGGAAGTGAGGCTTCTTTGGAAAGCTGCAAAATGCTACAAAATCCCAGGAGCTGTGGCAAGGTGTGAAATTGCAGGGATCGGTGTGGGAAGAGGGAGTCTTGTGTGGATGGGGACCACGGTGGAACCCAGAGGATGTGATGGGGATGGACACTGAAGCTGCCACCTCCAGGGCTAAGCTTTGTCCAAGGGCTCAGCTGAAGATGGGCTGTCAGCTACATACCTCCAAATACACCCCAGCATACGTACAGTGTGCTTCAGTCTCATGGAGAGAGCTTTAACACTGCCACTGATACTGCATTAAGTTGAATATTTAAAGATCCTGGGCCAAAGCTAAGCAGCACTGTGATGACACAAAGTTTAACCAGGAAGAAGGAGGAGAGACATGATGGAATCCTGGCTGTGATGGCATTTTAGCTGAACAGCAGTGTCTTCATACCCTGCTCCTTTTCCACGAGCTGATTTTGGTAGATGTCAGTTGACAACCATGGAGGTGTGCATTGGTTGCAGTGCCCTAATGCATTTCTTGGGGGTGATATTGGACATTGGGCAAGTTGGTGAGCCTTGCATGTAGCCCATAGGCTTCCTTGGCATCCTGGCTCATGTGCTCCCATCCCTGGAAGCTGTTCAGAATCACACTGCAGATCTTCAATAGGAAAAGGGGAACTCGTGGCCACCAAATGGAGAAAAGTAAGCTTTCCATCCTAGAAATCCCTTCTAGTATTCTTTATGAGAGACTTGGCTGTTTACAAGGCTGGATGGTGATAGGACAAGGGGGAATGGTTTTAAATTGAGACAGGGGAGGGTTAGGTTGGATCTTAGGAGGAAGTTTTTCACTCAGAGGGCGGTGAGGCACTGGCACAGGTTGCCCAAGGAGGCTGTGGATGCCCCATCCCTGCAGGCATTCAAGGCCAGGCTGGATGTGGCTCTGGGCAGCCTGGGCTGCTGGTTGGTGACCTGCACACAGCAGGGGGTTGGAACTGGATGAGCACTGTGGGCCTTTGCAACCCAGGCCAGTCTATGATTCCATGATAATTTAGCCAAGGGCCTGAAAAATCTACCCATAACTGGTAGTATTCAGTGGCCCAATCCATTCCAAATTCTGTGAAGCTTTGTACATCTGCTGAGAGAAGAGAATGATTTTTTAAGAAAACTGATACTCTGATGGCTTGGCATTCCCTCATCTGCTGTTTCTGCAGGGAGGAGGATGATCTGAAATGCTCAGAAGCACTGAAATTTTCTGAGAGCCCCCTTGTTTCATTTTAATGCTTTGTAACCTAAATCCATTTGTTTTGAGCATTGAATTATTACGCTGCTTAATTAACTTAGAATCAGTCATAAATTTCACATCTCCTGCATTTTAGTGCTCAGTTTGGTTGAGGGCCTGAAAGCAATGGGCTGCATTAGCATTATTTTAATTTTGGCATTTGAAAGCAGAAGGATCCAAACCCACCAGTTCCTTTGAATTTGCAGCCAAGAAGAAGGGGGAACTTGTGTGCATCTCATGAAGAACCAAAACAAAGAAGGGAGCTTTAAACTGTCATACTCATACCAGTGTGCCAAGACTTTTTAGGTACATGTGTGTGTTTGCATACGTACGTGTGTGTAAAGAATTGTAGAATCACTGAGCCATTCAGGTTGGAAAAGAGCTCTGAGATCACCCAGTTCAACCCCAACACATCCCACCATGCCCACTGACCACATCTCTCAGTGCCACATCTCTGCTGTTCTCATCTCCAGGTTTGCTGACCCCACCACCCCTCTGGGCAGCTGTGCCACTGCAGCACTGCTTTTTTGGAGAAGAAATGTTTCCTAATCTCCAACCTGAACTTCCTCTGGTGCAACTTGAGGCCATCACCTCTTGTCCTGTCGCTGTTACCTGGACGAAGAAGGAAACAGAGAAATGTCTATATGCTATATTATGTATATACATAGAGACAGAATTGTAGAATAATGCATTCAGAAATGGCCAAAGAAACTGAGCAAAAATCTGAGTATCCTTAACAATATATGGCATCCAATAAAATGAGGTCTGTTAAATAAATGCTTTTGAAAGGAAACCCAAAGAAACATAATCCAAAATTGGCACACATAACTCAATGAGCACGCAAATAGCCTGCAGCCCAAGAAGCAGGAGATGCAAAGAGCTGCCGTCCCTGTGCCACAGGAGCTCATGGCAAAGCCTTCAGGAGAGATGATGGAAGATACGGGAGCGTTTCGCCCTAATCCCAGTTTACCCATCACTGACAGTTGATGACATGCACCGGAGAGGCTTAGTGCTGCAAGGTGCTAATAACTTTGTTTTGGATCCAGCAAATCACTTAAGGTTGTTTGGAAGGGCTTGCATGCTTGAAGCCAAGTGCGCACTTAAGTGCTTTGCTGGCCGCTGGCCAGGCGGCTCGGAGCCCCGATGGCCAGGCAGGATTTCAGAGGGCAGTCCCAAAGCAGGCACCCTGCTGCGTGATTCCTGCCCCTTTGGAGATACCGAGACACGTGGGAGCAGCATGAACAGCACAGAGCTGAGCCTGGGGCTGGCTGGGGGAATGGCGATGTTGGCACGCAGCATGGCATCCGTGGGTGGAGGATGCTGTGGTGATGCTGCTCAAAGGCTGTGCCCTTGCTGGTACAGTTGGGTCTTCCTATCCATCAAATGGGAGGGGAATGGCTTTCATTCATAGATTCATAGAATCTGAGAATGGCTTGAGTTGGAAGGGACCTCAAGGATCATGAAGCTCTAACCACCCCTGCTGCATGCAGGGCCACCAACCTCCACATTTAATACCAGACCAGGCTGCTCAGGGCCCCATCCAACCTGGCCTTGAACACCTCCAGGATGGGGCATTCACTTTTAGGACTTTTAGGTGGGTTTTGCTCCCAACATTGAATCAGCTGTAAAGACAGATCCATCACAGAGCAATCCAGGTGGGAAGGGACCTTGAAGGATCACCAGTATCACCAACCTCTGGTGGAAAAGGGAGCCCCAGTGAGACCATCCGTCACCGCACCCAGCTCACAGAGCCCCAGGGTGCTTAGGGCTGGAGGCATCCTTGTGTCCCTCTGGTCCCCTCCTACCTCAGCAGAGCCACCCAGAGCAGGGTGCCCAGCAGCTTGGGCTGGGGGAGATCCCTGAGGAAGAGCCCAACATGGTGCAAACCCAACTCTGCAGGTGGCATTGCATTGGTAGCACCGTGCAGCTGTGATGCAGAGTGACGAATACATCTCAGCCTTATGGAAAATTTTAAAAGTCATTAAATTTTTAAGTAAGACCGTCAGAAAGGCACATCAGTTCCAGCAGGCTTAAAATAGGGTGACAAATGACTGCTGGAGGCATACGGCTTAATTACAAACGGCAGCAGGCCAGAATTGTCAAATGCTACCACTGCTCCCAGGTTTGGAGGATACCAGCATGGGCTCATTGTGCCAGAATCTCAGAGCTGCATTGCAATCAGGCACTGCCAGCCTGGGAAGGGAATCATAGAATCATAGAACCATTTAGATTGGAAAAGAACTCTAAGATCGCTCACTCCAACCCCAAGCCAACCCACCATGCCCACTGCCCGCATCCCTCAGTGCCACATCCTCACAGTTCTGGAACACCTCCAGGAACGGTGACCCCACCACCTCCCTGTCCCCAGTCCCCATAACCAGGCGGAAAAGCTGTGATTTCATGAAGACTTTTTGTAAAGCCATTTGGCAGCACAGATTTGCACCCAGAAATGGCACCGAGAATGATGTGATTGTCCAACACCGATGTCGTGCTGCCCTCTGCAGAACATGTGGGCACCTTTCGAGTGATGAACAGAATATTCCTGGGGGAATGCTACTGGGAACAGTGCTGAGCACTGTGAATTTATTGCCTCTTGGGAGTCAGCTTTACTGTGGCTGTGCCCATGTGTTGGTGTGAGAAAGGTGAGGGGAAGGGTTGGGGAGAGGATGGGGAGTGGAGTGGGAAGGGAAGGGAAGGGAAGGGAAGGGAAGGGAAGGGAAGGGAAGG